TAGCCTCACAGAGATACCTTCGGATTGGCCCTTTCCCCCTGCTGTTCGGCAGGGTACGGTCCCACGCTGCACAAGTTTCCACTACCAACCATGCCATGACACCTGCGATGTTGGCCCGTAAGTTGTCAGTTCTTTCCTGGAATGTTCGCGGTTTGGGGGACAAGACCAAGAGGACTGCTGTTTACACCTTCATTCGCTCCCACATACCGTCTATAATATGCCTACAAGAGACTCATGCTACCCTCGACTCGCTCCCTCTGCTCAAACTGAGGGGGTTTTCTTGTGCTTATCATTCCCACTTCTCCTCCTATGCCAGGGGAGTGTCCATTTGGATAAATGACTCGGTCCAATTTGTGTGTATGCAAACTAAAAACTAAAAGGAAGAGTGTCCTCCTCCGCTGACTGACAGAACGGACAGGGGAGGGGGCGGGTACAGCTGGCTCTGCCTCTAGATAGGCAGAGCCAGCTGTCACTCACGCAGCTGGGTGGATCTCGACAGTAATGTTGGGATCTGTCACGGCTCCGGCGGTCTCAGTATACTGCGAGCTGTAGCTCGTGATATACTGAGCTTTGGGTCACGGGAGGACGGTAGTCTATGTCCTCCCGTGACCCTTAGGAGAACTATGAGAAAAAACACTTACCCCATAGTTCTCCTTTAAAACAGTTACATTAAGATCATATCAAAAATATATATTTGTTTTATAACACGATTAAAACTGGAATAGATAAAAACATAAAATAAAAGTTGTTGCAGTATTTAGTTCACATCGGTTCTGATTGCTTTCTTTGATATATAACGATGATAGCATATTGGTGGTGACAGGTCATCTTTAGGGTGATACTGGCGTCCAAAAGACCTCTAGTGTCACTTTTCCACTTTAAATAAGCTATTGAGTAATGACAGCTCAGGGACCCGAAGTGATGCAATACGCATCGCTCCCGGTCCCATAGAGTCCACATCTGTTCACTGGTCTCCTCCCCAGCTTCCCGCTTGCACCTGACTCTCCTGGGCCCGCAGGACGGGCAGCGGAGCCTGGAAAGCATGGCGGGGGTATCGGGCGGGGGGCACTTTACCGGCCTGTAGAAGTGATTTGGTAGCAGCTGAGCTGCCAGAACCACTTCTGTTGTAAAGCAGGCAGCTTTACTATAACAGTAAAACAAATGTAAACAGTAGCCGCCGGGGAGTCTGTTTACAGTGCCGTGCTACCAATGATGTGCTATGTATGTCTCCATGGTCACGATGGAGTTAAATAGATATTTACCAAATAAGATTAGAGTAGTGCACAACCCCTAAACCCCTTAAATATTTTAGTCTACTGACACTTTAAATAAGACCTTCAAGTCTCAACTTCAAACTATTATATTATTGTACAGGATTTATATAGCGCCAACAGTTTGCGCAGGGCTTTACAATATAATTAAGACATTGCTGTTACAATACAAGTTAAGACAGCATGGTAAGGAAGGCCCTGCTCCTGAGAGCTTACAATCTAAAAGCTTTGTAATTGTATGGTCTCTTGATTACTATGCAATGGTAGCGAGTAGCGAAAATGTTAATCATGAGAATTAAGGCCTTTATTTTATTAATGTGTAATGTAGAATAAAATATATAACAGAATTTCATCAGATTTGCTGACCTAGTACAAATGTGTACCTTTAGAATAATTTTATCTTAACTGTGGATCACACTTACCATACATGGAGCACAGAAGCCATTTCCCTACAGCTTTGCAGCGTATGGGCAGTTAGCCAATAACAACATTTTTTCACAAAGATAATGAATTGCTTATTGTCTTTCAGTCGTTGCACTTGATGTGCTGAAAGAGGCAACTTTATCAAAAACTTTCTTTTCCAAGAAATGCCTGCTTCTTACTGAATTACTCATCTAAGAGCTGGTTTGACCAAAACAAATTGTATCATAAATATATATAGACCCTGTGCTGTGAATCTATAAATTATTAAGATTGTTTTATGGATTTTCAGTTCACCCCCCCCCCCCACACACACACAGTTGCTGTGTGTGTTTTTAATCTAATAGATATAAAAAAGAATAAATAAAAAATGTGGGTGATTTAAAAAACAGTACCTTTCATTCACTTTATTTTTACTGTAAAATATATATTTTTCACAATAACTCATATCAAGAGAATACTTTTAAATATTATAAATGAAAAGCACAATTGCTTAAACTGTTTATGAATGACAGATACAATAACCTGAAGCTATATAATTATTTAGTGAAAAAAAAATAGTGAATTACATATTCAGTTAGCAGTAATGTTACTCGCTAGTAAAGGTAATCGACACAGGAAGTTCACTTGCTTTACCAGACTGCTGTTGGCCTAAGTGGAAAAACATTTTGAGCAGATAATTATCTCTGGGCATAAAATAAATCCTGCTGTGTTTGTGTTTATAATGAGAGCCAAAGGGTTTATTTGAACAGCAGATAAATTGTATTCACGGTGGATAACTTATGTTAATCTCCTCTATAGTGGGAAGGCTTTAATGGGGTTACATGCCATGAGTGGCTGAAAATTGAGGCTGTCATGCTATTTCATCTATCCAACTTAAATGAGTGATAATGATACCTAGAGCCTCGGTGTTGAAGTGCAGACAATTGATTTTGAAAACTAGTAATTAATTTTTGTCCACAGCCTCTAACATG